CCCCCCTATATTGTTCGCGACCGTACCCTCGTCCTGCGTTTCGAACCCTGACTTAAAACACTGGGGTCGCTCCGCTAGAAAATGTAATCGAATTTTAATGCGTTTCATTATCGAACCTGCCCTGTATCACCCTAACTTCGTTTTAAAGAACCGACACACCGCGTCGCGTCAAACGTTGGCTCGGAGGGCGTTGCTCGCCAACAGCGAATACTTGTTCCTGCCTATATGTTATCTTTTATGTATGAAAGGGTTATCCCGTAAATAAATAAAGAATGAAAGCAACCTGAAGGAACCTCTGGATTCGTGGAATTCTAGTCGAGCCACCGACGAGCACGATGTCGTGAATCTGAGATTTGTCCATCTTGGCGTCTCGCAGAGCTTCCTCAACTGGCTGTAACGTACACTTGAAGAGATCTTGGTTGAGCTCCTCGAAGCGAGCGCGCGTGATGGACGTGTAAAAGTCGATGCCATCGAGCAGGGAATCGATTTCGATGTTGGCTTGCGTCGATGAGGACAAGGTCCTCTTGGCGCGCTCGCACGCTGTTCTCAACCGACGAACCGCTCGTTTGTTCGTCGTCAGATCCTTCTTGAACTTTCTTGAGAACTCTTGTGTGAAGTGTGTCACCATGCGACTGTCGAAGTCCTCGCCACCCAGGTGGGTGTCACCGGCAGTGGCCTTCACCTGAAATTATATGCGTATTCTATTCTAGAATGCAAGTTCACTACTCTTCTGGTAATATTAATTTTATTGACGGATATCTGTTGGAACTTTACAATCGACCTCGATATTTCCAGAAATTCCGATGTTAACGCGATACCCGATAATCTGGATATTTACTGTCAAAACCGTCGTAACTTTATAATCGCTCTTTCAAAGCATTCTCGTGCTAATGTGTCTAAAACTAGAGTGAGTAAAAATTATGTTAAGTCAAAGAAACTCACGTTTCTAAAAGAAAGTCAAAATATTCTACGCGTCTTAACACATTGGCTGTCAGTGATCTTGAAGCACAGAGGAATTTAATATCATGCGATGAAATTCAGAAAATTCTCGTTTACTCGAGCCATGCAGGAAGATAGCAACAAATCAGCAGACGTTAAAGCGTTAAAACTCTCGACGTAAAAATTATTCTATTCCATACTCAAGGTACTGACTTAATTAAATTATTACTAGAATCGTCAAATCAACAGAAGATAAAATCGAAACATCACCTTGCAACATCACTCTCTTTTGTCAGTAAAATTGCTGAGGCAGAAGACTTAGTTACTGGCGTTTATTCGTTCTACGTAGGTTTCGCATTAAACCATAAGGGACGCTGCTTTTATTTAAAAACTTTCCTCGGACTTGTTTCTCACAGCACGGAAAAGCACCGTGCCGAGCTCCGTCCCGAGAAGGTTCCGACGGCAATAGGAAAAAGGAAGTTCCTCCACGGAGGAATGCGGTTCGCGGTCCGCGCATAGACGAAACTTACCTCGAATATGCCGTCGTTGATAGTCAGTATCGATACGTCGAAAGTACCGCCGCCGAGATCGAAGATCAGAACGTTCCTTTCACCGCGGCCCTTTTTGTCGAGGCCGTAAGCAATAGCTGCGGCAGTCGGCTCGTTAATGATCCTCAGGACATTCAAGCCGGAGATAGTACCGGCGTCCTTGGTAGCCTGTCGCTGGGAATCGTTGAAGTACGCTGGTACCGTAATCACGGCGTTCGTGACGGACTTTCCCAAATAAGCTTCCGCCGTTTCCTTCATTTTCGTCAAAACCATCGACGAGATCTCTTCGGGAAAGAAGGACTTCGTCTCACCCTAGAATCGATATAGCAACTCGGAATAGAATTGATCATAGAGGAGAGCGAAAGTGTGTTCTAAATTCCTCCGAAACGTTTAGTTTCTTAAGTTCCGTTCGAAAGATGGCCTACTACTCCCTAAAGCCAAGTGGAATTTTAGATTTGATGTTTACTTTTATTAAAGAAGCTTCCGAATAATTGACATAATCGACGATCACATGATACCATAGAAACATCGATAAGTATCCAAGAATCGTTCAAGTGTCTTTGAAAGCTCGGAAAAGTGAAAAATTTACGATTGAACGTCGATCCTTAAGAGTGTAGGAAAGTTCGTCAGCTACAAAGGATGAGTTTGCAGTTTGATAAGATACCGATTGTTCAAAATGTAGGCCAACATCCATAAAGCAACATTGATACCGTACACAGAACAAAGTCAAACGTTTCTAATTAAATTCCTTGTCTAACTGTGGATGTTCACGCGGTTGGACGTCAGGTCACGTTAAACGTTAGCCAACTCACCTTGTACCTAACTCGGATTTTCGGTTTTCCTCCGTCGTTAACCACGGCGAACGGCCACTGTTTCGTGTCAGCTTGGACTGATGGATCATCGTAACGTCTGCCAATCAGCCTCTTCGCATCTGTCGGACAATTTCATTTAAGCTTCCCTTAGTCATCGATTCGAGGATCGCTGGCAGCGATCGCAAAATTGGCCACGAATTCGGCGCATGATCGAGAGACGCAACTATCACGACCACGCTCTTATCGTGGCGAAACGAGCGAACTTATCGTGGGCGAATTCCGACCTCGTCCGCTGAACGACTATAGATCTCGAAACGGTAAGTCGATTTGGCAGCCACGAAACGAGAGCGTTCTCGACGTTGAACTGGTTTCCGGTCGCGTTTCTTTTCGCGGGCCAGCTATTGCGCCGGAAGCCAGCCCAGAAACCCGGAAATGACGGTGATTCTTGGGATCCTAGCTACGCTGCCAAGTCGACGGACCTTGCCAGCGTGATTATCAAAAATTCTGTTCGCGTAATGCTCTACGTTTTGATTTTACGTCCGACTTCAAGAAGTATCTCTTAATTTTGTTTTTTATTTTTTTTTTTTTTTAGAAAATGGAATATTTTGCTTAGTTTCGTTTCAATCCTCAAATACAAATCAGTAATCTTTTAGAAGAAATTTGGTTTATCGTAATTTCACTATTACAATCTAGATTCCGGAGAATTTAAAAAACTTTAAGATTTGCGATTTGTGAAACGTAATTTATAGTGATTTCTCTCTGTGGCTTTTACGTATCATAATACAGTGGTTTAATGAATAAAATTTTCAAGTAATCCATCCATAAACTATCGGTAACAGTACGCTTATGATGATGTCAAAAATAAGGAAACCTGTGATTAAGAATTAAACTTTGACACGATCATCGAACTATAAGCCTACCAAAGATCGTGTTCGTGGGATTCATAGCTACTTGATTCTTGGCTGCATCACCGATTAACCTCTCCGCTTCGGTAAACGCCACGTAGCTCGGTGTAGTGCGATTTCCTTGGTCATTAGCGACGATCTCGACTTTTCCATTGAGAAATACGCCGACACACGAATAGGTTGTTCCCAAATCAATCCCTACCGCCGGTGCTGTCATTGTAAACCCGATGAAATTTGGAAGGACGAAACGAGAAGACTGGATGCAACGACAGAATAATCGCTGCTCGACTGTTCTGGTCGTGCAGTCTACTGTCTTCTTACGTACGTTCAATGCTGCGTGCGATTGAGCTAAATTGGAAAATGTCCCCTATGCTTGTAGGCACTTGAGTTACACCAATGGCAGATAAAAAGTGGCGGAAAAAAGCGTACTATTTATCGAAGGTTGTAAAAGCATGCTCTAGACACCATTTTTGTCTTGTATATTTAACGTAGTGTAGTATTAAGAGGACCTTTTGCACCGGTATCTTTTCTGTTTTACGATAATGGTATTCTTGTGCTTTCAAAAACGCCTAAAATATTCAGGAGGACTGACGACGATGTTGAAAAAAGAACTGAGTTGTTCACCTTCGTTATGAACTTGGAACTAGGAAATCAAGATTGGATGTATCTTTTCCATGCAATAATTCAAGCAATTAAAGACAAGAAACGGCTTATACTTTTCAATTTCATATCTCCCATCGTTGCAGTTATTCGAGATAAAAGCACTTCAGATTTTTCTTCTTCCCCGGAGAATCGAACGTCGCGAATCTACGATTCGTAACATAGCTCGAGAAAACCTTATCACACAGAACGTTTCACGCTCTGGCGCGGCGAAGGCGTTGATCTCGATAGTATCAGGAAGCCATGGGTTTTGAAAGGGAGACTTCTTCGGTCCGATAATCAGGCAATTACCGGAGAGATCGATCGCGTCGTTCGTAAATTTCGCGCGTTCGACCGCGACGCGTCGATTCCCATCCACGACGTGGACAGACGCCGTGATTCGTGACCAGGATTTTGGATCGACTCCGCTTCTGTGATGCGTACAAAGAGACACGCTGACGGCCTATCTCATTTATGGCTCCCTAATAAACTTCCCATTACAAGCTTCTACCGCGATGATCGATAACCGTGAATCGAAATGCAGACCACGCGTAGCTTCGGGCAACCTCCAGCGGGTTTTTTTAATTCTTCAAACAATGTCTTGGTAGTTTTAAGTTCATTCGATAATTTTAGTGTGACAGCGTGACTGTTTCTGGAAGTTGAGGGAACAAAGTTTCGTCTGGCTGCGTTACAAAGGTTTCACGATTTTACGAGAAAGGGAAATATTCGAAAACGTCGGAAGGAAATTGATGCTGAGAATTAATTAAGCGACACGGGCTCTTATCGGAACCGGAACACGAGCATACGAGGAAGTTCCGCCCCAAGCTGGTCCAGCGTCGTCGAGGTGGAGCTTCCACCAGAGCCCGATAAATTTATCCCGAAGGGGAGTCCCAAATGCAGGATGTGACGCGTTAATTTGCTTATCCTTTCCCCTACGAGGGTGAACGATGTCATAATTAATGACTATTCCTAACGACAAACCTTGGACGCTTACCAGATGAACTCACATTACCTAAAACTTTTGAGACACCACAGATCCGAGAAAATTGCAACAGAATTCAACAGGGTCCCTTGATACAAGAGTATATGAAACTGCAAGGAAAGCTGCTGATATATACTCCGCTTGCTTTACTCATCAGGCTACATGTATTGTATAACGTACAATAGTAAATAACAAGTTACAGTTAAAAGTTCGTGTAAAATCGAAGTGAATCTAAGCTGCTACGATCAATCGTATTCCTTCCATTTGCTCTCTTTCTAGCTCTGCACAATACTAGACTTCAGCCAGAAATCAAAACTCGAAGGAAGAGACAGAAACGCGACGAAAGAAGAACAGTATCGAAGAATTGAAGGCAAAACGAGATGGTTTAGAGTTTTAGAGAATGAAGATGGCGCGAATGGGAGGTAACGCGAATATCGAGATTGGATCGGGGCGGGAGTATGTGTAAGCCTCATAAATATGTCGTCAGGCCGGTAAACAAGACACGCGAAGTCGGTACAAGCTGTACGTCCGTTCATGGTGTATTGTAGAATCGTTCGGTGGCCGCGGTCGTGGAGATGGTCGGGTACCGCGACCGGGATTTAAAGCCGGGAAATTTATCGTTTCGCGAGGAGGCGGACAGAAGCGACGAAAGGGATGAAGCCAGAACTGCGAGGAGATAGAAGGAGGGACGAGGTTGAGCGATGTACACGAATGAATGCGGCGAGAAAGCGCAGAGAGTGAAGGAGATACCGAACGATACAAGGTAGAGGAAGGAGGAAAGAGTTTCGCGTACAACGAAAACCTCTGGCAGACTACCGAAAACCGGTCGTTTCCAATCCTGCCTCTCATCCCACAATCTGGCCGTGATTCAACGATCGTTCCGTCGGCTCTTTTCACCTTGGCTACCGTTCCTCTTAGCATAGATGCGTCGTGTTCCGAAGGAAACCGCGATTTTCACCCCTGTTACAAAGTGAAACCGCCGATCATCTAAATGGACCTTACCAAGATCTTTGTCTTCTTTTATAAATGCCTCGTGATTCTGTCTCGACTGGAAAAACTGATATGGACGCAGAAGACGATGATTTATTTCTGTGGAATCTTTGGATTTAAGGAAACGTTGGGATATTATTATATTAAGTTTGCGTGGCTAGAGTATATTTGAAATTTATGCATCATCAATCAATTATGTTATATTACCGCGTGACGTTGCGATATTAGAGGAAGCAAAGAGGGCGAAGGATGCGTTTCGCGCGGGATCTATTCATCAGTGGACTCATCGGTAAGGTTACCTAACAGGTTTGCTATAAACGTCAAAGTAGTAGGAAAACATTTTCAAACGACTATTTCTAAGAATTATGTTTTCAATATCCATGCTGTAACAAGGAGAATTTCCTCGATGTAATACAGAGTAGAATATTCCAAGATGACAGTCAATTCTACTTCGATTTCTAATGTACTTCCGTTCCTTAAACCGCAATAACTCGACAAGACGTTTAAGGAACAAAACTAGTGTATCACGTAGACTCATCGGAGAGAGCATCCGTTCTGCAACGACTTCTCGGGGCCGGTAATCTACCGCGACAAGCGGCTGCGATTGTCATATTTCTCATCGGATAATACATATCGTAAATAACAAGGCTGATATTGAATGAGAGAAAAGTGGGAACCGGTTACAATATTTTCAGTGCATCGGCAGGGCCAGCGGGCTGGCTTGAGTCGATCGGCGCTGGTCAGAAGAGAGGCAGTGAGCGGATCGGGAAGGGCGGAAGGCCAGCGGTGAGCTGCAACATTTCGAATATAAGTTAGCCGGATATTGTTCGGCGCGGGGCCGAATGGTAAGGGGCTTAGCAGCTCTGAAGCAGCGGCCAATATGGTGGTTACATGAGGATGAAACGATATAAATCCCGAAACGCTTACAGTTATTGCAGATCCAGCGTAATATCCACTCGAGCGGCGGTCCGCCGGCCGGCCGGTTTACGCGGTAATTCGCCGATGACAGCGTCGCGATAAAATGAAATCGGTTCGCGGCTTTTATAACGACCGCGACGCGCTAATCCTTTCGCCGGCAAAGTTGACGCGGAACCTATTTAAAATAAGGCAAAAGTCGAACCAGAAGTATACGTCTGATTTTTTTTTATATAAAAAAATATATACAATATAAATAAATAAGATTTCATGGTACAGTGAAACAGTCACAGTAAAATAATTATCGGAAAATGTGACGACAACTCTTCGAACTTCAAGACGACAACTGTGATTCATCTTTCAGGTCTTCGTTTCTTGAAAAATAAGAAAAACGAAAAATAAGAAACAGAAATTGTTGGCTTTTCGATAGAGATTATCGCATCGTAAAAATAGTTTCTGATAATCGATCGAAGACAGACCGAAACCACGAAGAAATAAAACAGGCCCTAACCTAACCCTGTCTTGACTATGCTTCTGCTCGAAGCCAGCCGTTATTTTCTCATCTCAGTCTCGTAAGTCATAAATAATATGCGACGATCAAATTTTCGTCACGGTTTCAAAGATGTCTGAGTGCAAATCCCCTCGCGAAAGACGAAACGGCTCGACGTTCCGATCTTCGTGCGAGATCGTATCGAATGTCGCGCCGTACCGAAGATACACGTCCTGACAAACCTCATATGGTATTCATGAAAACTGCGTATTCATCAATGAGATGATCGTCGGATCCTGGATAAAAATCCGGCTCGACCACCGAGCGCGCCGTTACACGCGCGTTACTTCTACTTCCTCTTACCACTCATCCTCTCCCGTCAGCCCCGTGGTTGGCCTTGTCTGCCGGAATATTCGAGCTCGCAAGAAAGAACATTTCTGTCAAGGGTGGCGGCGTGTACGTGGGTGTACGCGGAACGGCGTGTGCGTTATTTGTGTGAGTTATTTCACACATGGCGGCCGATCGATAGGCATCGCATTGCATTCGGGGACTCTCTGTCGCCTCTATGCTTCTCTCGTTTCTCCCTGGGTACACCTTCCTTGGCGCAAGACTCGCGATAGATAGTATGTCCTTCTGTCTGGGTAGCAACGATCGCTTATCGTTCCACGTGTCACTGGATGTAAGAGACACGGTAGGAATCACACGGTGCTTTCGAGGACATCGTCTCGACCAAACAATAGAATTTGCAGAAAGAAATCAGGAACTTTAACGACAAGGTTATACGAGTCGATCTTCACAAATATTGTAAATAATTACTTGTTGATTGCATATAAAAATTACAGGAAAAACATCAATTACGTGAGTTACATTTCGTGTTTATTATAGGGAATTATCGTTACATTTAATATATTAGTTAAATTAATTCAACAACGTTCCACAAATTTCACCAAGCAAAAGTTTAAATTGTCGGCATTTGTATATTTGAAACGGTGAGCGATTCAAATTTTACGATAACACGCTCGCACGGATCCCGATGAAATCCCGAGACCATAAAATTCGAAACTCGTTCAATTTCTTTTTAATCGATTTATTCACAGGTTCCTAATCAACCAATTGAATTTTCATTTTATCATGGGTCAGTAGCATTTTTCGTGATGTAGGATCGATGCGCGCGATCTTTGAATCTCGATGATTCGCGGGACACGCGAATGAAACCCGAACGATATTTCATATAACTGGCGCGCGATCCGTGGCGTTGCTGCGGTCGCATCGTTAGGTTCGGCGAAATGAAAATACGACGGCTGTCGTTTACAGACACGTCGGACGTCCACCTGGACGTAATACGGCCTGGTATAATTAATCCTTCGCGAGCAAAACGCGCGTTATTGTGTCCCGGTAAGTTGTGACAGTAAATTACTCGTCAAGTCTAGCGAAGA